TACCTTAGAGGTACATCTGACGTTGGTCTCATTTATGGAGGTGATACTCAGTGCTTGGTTACTGGCTATTCTGATTCTGACTATGCTGGAGATGTTGACTGGCTATGTGTTTACCCTTGGAGGATCTCTCGTTAGTTGGAAGGCAACTTTGCAACCTACAGTGACTTTTTCTACCACGGAAGCGGAGTACATGGCCTTGACAGAGGCTGCAAAAGAAGGGATTTGGCTGAAAGGGCTGGTTAGTGATCTTGGTCTGCATCATGATCAGGCTATGGTGTATTGTGACAGTTTGAGCGCAATTTGTCTAGCCAAGGGTCAAGTCCATCATGAGAGAACCAAGCATATTGACGTGAGGTATCATTTTCTAAGAAGTGAGAAGAGAATCAAGGTGAAGAAAGTAGGAACTGCTGATATGTTCACAAAGCCGGTTCAACAGAGCAAGTTTCAACACTGTTTGGACTTGCTCAACATCAGAAGCTGTTAATTGCCCTGCGGGGCAATTCTGAGGAAGAGGGGGAGGCCTGGCACTATCATAGTGCGTCTGAAGAATCTGTTTGGAGAATTCAAGTCAAGGTGGAGATTTGTTGAATGCCTTGAATTGAGCCCTTAATTATATGTCAATTCTGTATGTTGGGCCCAAGCCTGTTAGGGCGTAGTTTAGCACTATATATAGACGCTATGGCAAACCCTATTCTGTAATTCTGTTTTTGCCTCTCCATAATAAAACTTCTCCCCCTCTTCCGTGGACGTAGCCAATTTATTGGTGAACCACGTAAATCTGTTGTTTTGATTTTCGCATTTATATTTTCTCGTATTATCTCGAATTCCGCATAATACAAACTCTTCTAAATTTCCTTCTCAACATAATATACATCACCATTTCCAACACAACGATCCTAGTCAATGATACTTGAACATACTATTTTTCTCTATCTCGGGGTATAAGGTAGGATATCCGATGTCTCCATACATCTTTATCCTTTGTATGGAATGTTTCCCAAATCACATTATACATTAAATTGGGACCTGATAGCCTAAACCCATATAGTAGCCTCCCACCTTATGCCATCTATTCTTTGCGGATGATCTTACCTTCATAGCCAGAGCTAATATTAAATATGTAACAAATATACACTCTTATATAAATCACTTCTATCAATATTCTAGAGAAATAATGAACTCCTTAAAGTCTAAGGCCATTTATGTAAGCAATTGTACCCTCTCAATTCCTTTCTTGGTTCGTAATCAATCCCTCAAGCCACTTGGAAAGTACATTGACTTTCATATTCTTAGATAAAATCTAAAGTGGTTAATTTTTCAATTAAATAATACGATGAACAAAATCATATCCTTGATAACTAAATTTCTTACTCCAACAATTTTAGCTTAACACTATATCTACCTATTCTCTCCTTGCCTATAAAAACTTTTCACCATATTGACCAAATTTAGAGAAACTTTCTATGGGAATATACTGACCATCATCCTATCTCTTGGATTACGTTATTTGTTGATTTGATGATGTAACAAACTCAAGGACCTTGTGAAGGTACCAGGTTCTCAACATGACCAACTCGTTGACTGTCAGCTGGAGAAGATACATAAAGTTGGTGCACAATTTCCAACCGCATCAGAAAAGTCAGACCTTTCCAACCAATGGCATGAGTTTAAGGAAAGGGACTTGTCTATACAAGGTTATCTTTCCAAACATGGTTTGTCAATTTTTGCAACTTGAAAAATTATACTCAAGAACTCTTGCAAAGGCTATAGAAAATCAAAGTGAAGAATCATTCAAGAGCAATCAAAACCCAGGCGTATATTGTGTAGTTGTTTGAGAATACATTCTTTTGGTCTTACATTGTAAACTAATCCTAAATCTATAAAGGAATCAGTGTGGTTTGTGTTGAAATTCTGAGTTTTCTAGAGTGATAGCTTAGTGGGTAGAATAACTTATACTTAGGCTCATCAAGCAATAGATTTATTGCTTGTTGGTAAGATTAAAAACTTTTTCTCACATTCGTGTAACTAGTTTTACTTTTGCTTGCGAATATTAGTGAAACAGTTGTGAAAATCATGTGAGACAGGTCGTGGTTTTACTCCCTTGAGCAAGGAGGTTTCCATGTAAAACTCATGTATTGTTAAACTATATTTACTTTCTATTATATCCTTGTTTGTGTGTCAAGGGACCTAGTCTATTAACTGATAGTGAACGCATAGATTCTAACAAGTGGTATCAGAGCAGGCACTTTCTATCTGGTTAACACCAAGAGAGTGATCTCTGTTCTAGAATGGCTGCTCCACTTAATCTAGAACAGGGTCAGTCTTCAACTATACCTCCTCGTTTCAATGGACAGTTTTACAGTTGGTAAAGTCAGAATGCATGATTTCCTTATGGCTGAAGACAGTGAGCTATGGGACATTGTCCTAGATGGACCATTTATTCCTATGATTGAAGAGAAAGATGGCGAAAAAACTACGTTTGTTCCTAAGCCTAGACAAAAATATGATGAAGCTGATAGGAAAAAGATTTAAAAGGGGTACAAAGCAAAGAAACTTCTTGTCTGTGGTATAGGACCGGATGAGTTCAATCGTGTCTCAGCCTGTGAATCTGCAAAAGAGATCTGGGATTGCTTAAAAACAGTTCATGAGGGAACTGAACAAGTGAAAGAGTTAAAGATCGATATGCTCACATCTCAGTATGAAAATTTCAAAATGAGAGAAGGTGAAACTATTCATGAAATGTTCACTAAATTGTCATCCATCACAAATGAGTTGAGAAGTCTTGGAGAACCTATCAGTATGAGCAAACAAGTTAGGAAAGTACTCCGAATCCTTCGCAAGTCTTGGGAAAGTAAGGTTTATGTTATTACTGAAGCAAAAGACCTGAAAGTGTTAACCATGGATTCTCCCATTGGAAATCTAAAAACTCATGAGATGAATCGAAGTCATGATCAGTCAAAGAAGAAGGTCAAGAAAGATAAGTCCTTGATGCTGAAATACAAATCTGAAGAGGACTCCAGTGATGATTATGATATGGGTTATCTCATCAAGATATTTCAGAAGATTGTGAGAAAAAACAAAGGTTTTAAAAAGGGAGCAAATGTTCCTCGAACTGCCACTCAAAATGATACCTATTATAAGTGTGGAAAAGCTGGGCACTTTATAAGAGATTGTCCATTACTCAAAGGTGAAAACAAAGAATATCAAAAATCAAGAAGTGATAAAAAGAAGAGAAGGACCCTGGTACTTAATAAAAATGATTGAAAAGCTGCTACCGATTATGTGGTCAAAAAGGCCTTTACTGTATGGGGAGACTCTTCAAGTGACTCAGAAGATCTTGATGAACCAAATGATGTGTCAATGGTGGTGGTTCATGAAGAGGAAACCATATTCAATGAGATGTTTGCTTTCATGGCTTATTCAGAAAATGAAGAAGATGAGGACAAGGTAACTCTTATTGATATGAAACATGATCTGAATACTTATTCTCTTAAAAAATTGAGAACATTAGCAAATGTTATGATTGACTCAGTGATTGAGTTAACTTCTGAAAGAGATATTATGAATGCTCAGCTTGAAAGTTTAAATGAAAATAGAGATAAAATGAATGAGCAAATGCTGAAAGTTGAAGACAAAATTGTTTCTCTAGAATCTGACAAAATAGAACTTAAAAATCAGTTGCATCTGATAAATGAGAAAGCTGAAAAGCAAAAGGGAAAGTTTAGTGGTTTACAAGTTGTACTTGAATAAAAACTGAAAACCTCTGAAAATAATCTTGGTTTGGCTTTAGAAAAGAGCAACAACTTAGAAAGAGATATTGTCAAACTTAAGGATGAACTTGAAAAATCTCTTAAGTGGACAAAATCTTCTAAACTGCTATCAAACGTAACAAATCAAATTAATTTCAACAAGAAAGGTCTAGGAAGTTTGAATATTACTCCTCCTTTTAATCCTCACAACAAATATGTATTTGTGTCGGACAATTTGTTGTGCCTTCATTGTGGTAAAAATGGGCATTTAAAAGAAGAGTGTACTGCCTGAAGAAAGTCACATGAAAGACTCTCAAAGTATACAGAGAAGCAAAGAGTATCAAAAGAGAGACCTGGTCCCACAAAACAATTCTCAACAGAAAGGTTTTCAAAGAAAGGATCTGATTCTGCTTCAAAATCATTTGTCAAAAGGAATTTGAAACTACCTTATTGGGCTAGAAACGATTTAATCACTCCTTTGTCTGCTTTCTGGGAACTCAAATTGAAATGGGTTCCCAAGCCTAACAAGTGAGTCTTGTTGAGCAGGTGAGTCAAAGGAGCAACAGTCAATGTTGGTACATGGATAGTGGATGCTTAAAACATATGACTGGTGATATCAACAATTTCCTCTCACTCAAGGCACTTCAGGGAGGAGGTGTCTCTTTTGGTGATGGAAAGAAGGGGTATATTTTGGGAGTTGGTAAAGTGGGAAAATCGCTTGGAGAATCAATTGATAATGTGTATCATGTCAGTGGGTTGAAGTATAGTCTTTTGAGTGTCTCAAATTTGTGATAAGGGAAATGAAGTGAAGTTTACTTTTGAGAGGTGCATTGTTGTTAATCTATCTACAAAGAAAGTGATTCTTACTGCTTTTATAAGTAAAAACATGTATGTGGCTAACTTAGAAACATCTCATGGAGATGAGACATGTCTTAGTGCTCAAAATTGAATAAACTGATTTCTAAGGACCTGGTCCTCGGTTTGCCAAAGTTGGAATTTTTTGAAAGCAAAATTTGTGAAGCATGTGTTAAAGGAAAACAAATCAGATCATCCTTCAAGTCAAAGAATCAAGTAACATCATCAAGAGTATTGGAGCTGCTACACATGGATTTATGTGGACCTTTGAAGGTTCAAAGTAGAAATAAAAAAAAGTACATTTTGATGATAGTTGATGACTACTCAAGGTACACATGGACAAGATTCCTAAGATCAAAAGCAGAAACAATTGAAGAGTTGTTAGTGTTTTTCTAAATGATTCAAACAAAGTTGAATCAAGTGATTGCTGGAATTAGATTTGATCATGGAACTGAGTTTGAAAACTCAAAAATCGATCAATTCTGCATGAAAAATGGCATTAGCCAAAAAATTTCTGCTCCAAGAACTCCTCAACAAAATGGAGTAGTGGAAAGGAAAACAGAACCTTGGTAAATATTGCAAGGACCATGATTATTGAGTCAAATCTTCCACAAAGTTTTTGGGCTGAAGCAGTCAACACAACATGTCATGTCACTAACATATGTCTGATAAGGTCTTTATTGTATAAGACTCCCTATGAGTTGCTTAATAACAGAAAACCTATGTTGAGGTATCTTAGGGTATTTGGTTGCAAATGTTTTGTGTTGAACAATGGAAAGGATGATCAAGGAAAGTTTGATCCTAGAAGTGATGAAAGAGTGTTTGTAGGATATTCTTCATCAAGTAAAGCATACAGAGTTTTCAACAAAAGAACTTAATGTATTGAATAAAGTATTCATGTTGTGTTTGATGAAGATGGAAGTTTGAAAGGTGCTGCATCAAATGATGAAGATGAGTTGATTGAGCTGTTTAATTCACAGAAAATTGTAGAAAGTGAAGCTGTTGTAAATGATCAGTTGAGGAATGACAATGATAATGATAATCACAGCCTCTTTGAAAAGGCTGATGAAGTTGAAAAATGTGAAGAGGGATCTGGTACCATTCTGAACTCCAGTCAGAATTCCTCAAACTCTCCAGAAAATGATGATTTCTTTGAAGAAGAAGAACATACTAATCAGCTGAACCAGTTGACCTTTAGACCAGGATGGAAACATAGTTTATCACATCCACTTGATAATCTTATCTCACCTTTGAATTCTGGATTTCACACTAGATCAAAAACAAGAAATCTAGCTGCATTCTTAACGATTATATCATCTATTGAGCCTAAGAATGTGAAAGAGTTATTAGGTGATGCAGACTAGATCAATTCAATGCAAGAAGAACTTCGTCTGTTTGAAAAAAGTAAGGTGTGATACCTGGTTCCTCGACCTATTGGCAGAACAGTGATAGAAACCAGATGAGTTTTCAGAAACAAACTTGATAAAAATGGTGTGATTACTAGAAACAAATCTAGATTAGTTGTTCAAGGATACAATCAGGAGGAAGGAATAGACTATGATGAAACTTTTGCTCCTGTTGCAAGGATGGAGGCTATCAAAATTCTAATAGCTTTTGCAGTATTCATAGGATTCAAGCTATATCAAATGGATGTCAAGAGTGCTTTTCTAAATGGAGACTTAAAGGAGGAGGTGTTTGTTAAACAACATCCTGGGTTTGAGGATGCTGAGTCACCAGATCATGTGTTCAAATTAAATAAGGTTCTATATGGTTTAAAACAAGTCCCCAGAGCTTGGTATGAAATATTGTCAAAGTTTCATTTGAAAAATGGATTCAAAAGAGGGAAAATAGACAATACCTTGTTCTTATTAAAAAGTGAACAATAATTGATTATTATTCAGGTATATGTGGATGACATAATCTTTGGAGCAACATCAGAGCATTTGTGTGAAGAATTTTCGTCATTAATGGGAAAGGAGTTTGAGATGAGCATGATGGGTGAATTGACTTTCTTTTTGGGGCTATAAATCAAGAAATCATCAAATGAAATCTCAATCAGTCAAGAGAAGTACATTAAAGAACTGTTAAAGAAATTCAATATGTTTGATTCTAAACCTATTAATACTCCTATGGGAACAAACTCCAAGCTTATAGCAGATGAATCTGATTCTCTTGTGAATCAAACCATGTATAGGGGAATCATTAGATCCTTATTGTATTCGACTGTTAGCAGACCTCATATTATATATAGTGTTGGAATGTGTGCTACATTCCAAGCATGTCCTCGTAATTCACATTTGAAGGCTTCAAAATGGATTCTGAGATATTTGAAAAAGATAGGGGACCCGGTCCTTTTTTCATCCAGCAGGTGACACTTTTGATCTTGTTGGTTTTGCAGATGCTGATTTTGCTGGTTATCAAGTTGACAGAAAGAGTACTTCTAGAATGGCCCATTTCCTTGGATCTTCACTTATTTCATGGGGAACTAAGAAACAGAATTTTGTAGCTCTTTCAACAGTCGAAGTTGAAATGTAGCAGCTGCTACATGTTGTTCACAATTGTCATAGATCAAGCAACTTTTAGAGGATTTTGGTGTAATCATCAAGGCTATACCCCTTATGTGTGACAATACTAGTGCAGTCAGTATGTGAAAGAATCTAGTTCAACACAAGAGAACCAAGCACATTGATGTTAGACATCATTTTCTAAAGACAATGTTGAAAAGGGAAATATTGTGCTTACATATTGTCCAACAGAGGAACAAATTGCTGATATCTTCACCAAGGCTCTTAGCTAAGATCAATTTGAGAGTAATAGGTTGAAGCTGGGCATGATGACTTTACACTAATTTTCAGATATTCAATAGTTGAATTCCCTTGATGGTTAAACTTGCAGTGTAGGTATCCTCTGTCTCAATAATATATTATCTAAGTTAGATCATTTTTGGTACCTATTGTAGGTATACATTCAGGAAGGACTAGCAACACAAAGACATGGCTAGAACAGTTGAGGAATGATGATAAAGTTATGTTATGGGACCTGGTCCCTGTTGAGGTTAGCATTTGTACATTAATTTCAAACTGATATAAAGTGACTGTTGATAAATCCATGTGTCAGTCATCGGTTATTCTGACCGTTAGTCCCATCGCTTACTTTTCAAGAGACGTGTCAAATCATAGGGACCTGGCACCGTTTCAGTTCTTTTTAAACCCTTCTTCTCTCCTTTTTAATTCTTAATTCGTCTTGCAATATTCCTTCACTATAAAAAAAGGGAGAAGGGAACAGACTAAATCTGTTTTTATCTCTATTTTTCTTTTCTTCAAAACTGTTACTGTTTTCTTCTTCTTGACAAAATGTCTGATCCTTCATCTTCCTCTAAGAAAATGCTTACATCCCTTAGTGAGATTGAACCGATTGCTTTCTATTCTCCTTCAGTAGTAGGAACTAAGTCTAATATTTCGACAAGTTCTTCCCAACATATTCCCGAAAATCCTTTTCACTCCATAGATCTGAACAACTTAAGTGTTCCTACTGGACCTAGTCATCATCATGAAATACATTCAGATGCTCTGTTTGAAGAAGATGTGCCAAGGAACAAATCTTTAGAGTCAAACATTCTTGCTGTAAGTGAAGAGTTGGTGATTGAGAGTCTTGCTATGATGATGAGAGAGGAAGCCAGGGTTGAGAAAAATGAGCCTTTTCAAGGTGAAGATATCAGAGAGACCCAACCTATTTTTGATAAAACTTTAGATTTTGAGAGATATCCATCTTCTAATTCCTCTTTTTCAGCAAGTGATGAACAATCCATTCAGTGGAAGGTTGAAAGGAGAGATATAAGTGTATCAAAAAAGGGAAAAGAGAAAGTGGTGGAAGAAGTGCCTAAAAGGAGACCTACTACTAGATCTGATGCCAAAAAGTTGATGGCTGATGCTTTGAAAGCCAGTGCAAAGTCTACAACAGAAAACAGGAGTGCTAGAACATTCAAAGTGTCAAATTTTAAAATTTCTGAGTGTGGTGTCATAGAGGTGTCAGCTGAACAGACAGAAAAGGGGCACAGGAAGAAGAAATCAGGAAAGACAAAATCAAGAGATACCAAAAAGGCTGAGCAAACAAAATCCACAAAGGAGAGTTCTAAAGGAAAAAGGAAAAGGTCACAGGGACCTGGTACACAAAGAAAAATTGAAGAGCAGGTCAACAAACAAGAAACTGTTGACAATTTGAGAAAGCAGTCTGTACTGGCTGGAAGGGTTTTTGACATGGGGATAATTAATTTTCCTGGAATGGACTCACTTCATGATATGGGGGAGATTAGTCGTGGATGCATCTCTTCAACAAAAAATCTCCCATTCTTCATGAAGAGGAAGTGCGTGAATTTTACTATAACATTCAATTTCAAGAAGATGGAAGTGTCCATACCAGAGTGAATGATATTGCAGTGCACCTGGAGGAAATTCTGTTGGGGAAAATTCTTAGGGTGCCTCGAGACGGTACAAGGTCTGTGATATGGAAAACATGTTCAGCCGATTTTGTGACATTGGTCTCGAAGCTTCCTACAAAAAAGTGTGCAGGGTTGTTTAAGCAGGTGATGAAAAGTGAGTATCAGTTAGTCTTTGAGTTTGTCAACAAAACTTTACTTCCTCGTACTGAAAAGAGGCCATCAGCTACTTCTGTTGATTTGTATGTGATGGAATTGTTGTGTAAATTTGAACCTCTGAATCCTCCAGGAATCATGCTTGAACATATGTACAAGACTGTCATTGAGCGGAAAGGAATACATGGAATGGGATATGGATACTTTCTCACTGAAGTATTCAAATACTTTAACATTCCACTTAGTGTTGGCAAGGTTGGTACAGTGAAACAAGCTTTTTTAGAGACTACTTTGGTTGAATGTGAGTGCATTGAAGGGAAAGGAAACCCCAAGAGCAAAATGGCTCAACTCATTGAAGACCAGGACCAACTCAAGTATGAAGTTGAAGAACTAACTATGCGACTGAGTGGAAAGGATGCTGAAATTGTTATTCTCAAAGCCGAGCTGCTCACTGCACAAATAGAGGGATCTGGTACCACTGTGGTTCAAGCCTTGGAAAGGGAAAATGCAGAGCTGAGGTCCAAGGTTGTTGCTTTACAAGAAAAAGCAATAAAGGATAATGATGCTAAAAATGATAGACTTACTCTCATTATTCAGTCCCTTTCTCATCAGCCCCCCCCCCTTTGTAGTCTGTTCAAATCTCTTTCCGTGTCTTCCTTGTGTGGCTTATCTTTTCGTCCTTGTATTTCAGTTTGTTGTTAATGTATTAAATGCTTATCTTGCAATGCTATTTATATTATTCCCTTGGTGTTCTAGATACTATCTCTTGTCGAATGCTTTCCTTTATGTTTGATTGTTATAAAGCTTTGATCTTCTTTGATATTATTATTGATACTGTTGGTTTACTGTATCTATTTTTTATGATACCAAAAGGGGGAATTTTAACTGATTGTGTGGCTAGACATGTTTGTGAGGGGGAATACAGTGAGGGGGAAGACAACTTATGCAGTGTAGATTGTGTTTCTTTTGGTTTCGATCTTATGCCAGGAGGATGGACAAGTAATTCAGGGGGAACTTGTCATGAAGTTGGATGGGTGTCTGGAGTATTGTTTTTCATCATCAAAATGGGGAAAATGTTATTAGTAGTTTTGATGATGTAACAAACTCAGGGACCTTGTGAAGGTACTAGGTTCTCAACATGAGAAGCTCGTTGACTGCCAACTGGAGAAGGTACAGAAAGTTGGTGCACAGTTCCCAACTGCGTCAGAAAAGTCAGACCTTTCCAACCAATGGCATGATTTTAAGTAAAAAGACTTGTCTATACAAGGTTATCTTTCCAAACATGGTTTCTCAATTTTTGCAACTTGAAAAAGCATAATCAAGAAATCTTGTAAAGGCTAAAGAAAATCAAAGGGAAGAATCATTCGAGAACAATCAAAACCCAATCGTATATTATGTAGTTGTTTAAGAATACATTCTTTTGGTCTTACATTGTAAACTGATCCTAAATCTATAAAGGAATCAGTGTGGCTTGTGTTGAAATTCTAAGTTGTCTAGAGTGATAGCTTAGTGGGTAGAATAACTTCTACTTAGGCCCATCAAGCAATAAAGTTATTTCTTGTTGGTGAGATTAAAAAACTTTTTCTCACATTCGTGTAACTGGTTTTACTTTTTCTTGCGAAGATTAGTGAAACAGTTGTGAAAATCCTGCGAGACAGGTCATGATTTTACTCCTTTGAGCAAGGAGGTTTCCACGTAAAACTCATGTGTTGTTTAACTGCATTTACTTTCTATTATATCCTTGTTTGTTTGTCAAGGGACCTGGTCTATTGACTGATAGTGGACGCATAGATTCTAACAGATTACTATTACGACCCGTAAACTTTGTGGAGGCTTGGGCCTTAAAAAGCTCACGAGAAAAATTATAAATCTCCTCTCTACTCCTTCTTATGGGCTCAGACTCTCATAAATAACCATAACCTTCCACTTTATTTATTTGGAAAAACATTATACGCGGAAGAAATATTTGTTCCAAGTCCATAGCCTCGACCCTTCCTATTAATTGTTATCATTCTGGTTGGGTCCTTAGACAATTATCCATGGACCCCTTAATAAAGGTGAAAAAAGTCTTATCTTAGCAAATCATTGGGATGGATTCAAATAGGGTTGGTCCAATCTTTACAATAATATCATCGGATAAAGTTTCCATCATTCGGCTCAATCCCGACATAGGTACTGATAACTTTAAGCAAAGAAAATATGTAGAAGATATATTAAATAAGCAAGACTCTTAGTTAACAGATTATAGTAAAACTATTCATTTTACAATCTCCACCGGACTGTGTTAAAGAACAACTTGCTAAAGACAAGGATGAAGTCACTTCTACTAGACATTTTAACTAGCCTATATGTAACTCTTATTTATATACATACATACATACATACATATATATATCCTTTTAACCCAAAAAGAGAGTAAGAGGATATCAATGATCTAATAGTAATGCTCCTCAATCATTTTAGATGGTAAGCACTCAATCATTTCATTCAAACTTATTCCTCTTTTAAAAGTATATGAAAATAGGTACTATCAATTCTAGATGTGTTGATCAAGAGTTAATAACATTACTACATGACCACTTACAAATCAAAATACAATTAAAGGTCATTCATTATTACTTAACTCTAGTTATATTAGTGTAAATTTTTCACACAATAATCTTTTCTTACTCACTATAAGAAGATTTAAAGTAATCTTCTTGATGAATCCTTGTTATGCCTCAGAATTTCAATGGCCTAGACTAGAGCCTCAATTATTGAATAATGCTTTAAAATGGTGTTTTGAGGCCTGAACAAAAGTAATTAACTTGATTAGGAAGTATTAGAGTCTAAACGTTAAGAAACGACTATGACGTCCGGACACTAGTGAAAGTGATCTAATGTGCCTTTAGGTCTTAGAAGAGGTTTAAAAAGATGTATAAGGGTTAAATCTTTTAATAAGACC